GAGGTCAGAGAGTGAGGAAAAAATACTGCTGAATAAGGGGCCAGTCAGGCTGAGAGATCTGTTCACAACACTGAAGTATCAAGCCAGTGATACTGTCATACAGCTGGTTCAAGTTTGATTCTGGAAGAATAGCTTATGTCAGGGATGGACAGTGTCCATATTTTCTGGACTTCAGCTCTCATTTACTAGTATGGCCAATGGGTCAGAAATACCGGGAGCAAAAATTCTGCTTCAAAACATCTGGAGATCTATATCCCATCCTCCAACCTCCCAGGATCTACAGCATTGCAGGCTGAGCTGAAAGAGTAACAGATTTCCAGTATTGTAACATGTTTCACTGTTATATTGTTGGGGTGCATGTGCTGAGGCAGTAACTCCCTACAATACAAGCCCTTGTTCATACTTCCGCTCAGAGGCAGGGCTGAGCTATTACATTCCAGCCCCCAAAATCCTCCATTCAAGACACTTCTTAGGTGGCAGCATTGGCCAATCTATTTAAATTGGCCCTTCAGACCTTCCACTTCACCAAATACACAGTACTCAGTTTAATGCAGGCGAGTTGAGCTTCTCTATGCATGCTAAAACAGACACAAGCAAGTCCTGGCTCATCTTTTCTGTTTTTTTTTTTTTTGGGGGGGGGAGGACATCTCCTGTCCAATCACAGATAACTATATCATTTGGGATTCCTTCACTGATTTCTATCAGGGTGCAAGATCTTTTTTTTTTTTTTTAAGTGGAGGTTGGCGTCTCTGCCCTGTGTGTAGCTGTATGAGAAGAGAGGGGCAACATCAAAAGAGAACAGAGCAGGTGGGAGGAGGAGAAAAATGCACACAAGATTGTTAACAAGGAGGGGGAAAGAGAGCCAAGGGAAGGAGGTGGTGTGGGGGAAGCACATCAGAGAGAAGGAGGGTGGGCACAGGATAAAAGTAAGCATAGCACTTCATGTCCAGTGCATGGCAGAGCAACACTTTTTAGTTCAATGTAGAGCAAAGCTCTTTAGTTCACATTTAGGGGGGTTTTAAAGGATTTTGTAAAGTTGGAAAAAGTGCAGAAAAGGTAACCTAAAATGATCATGGGGCTGGATAATCTCCTCTATGAGGAAAAGTTAAGAACTGAGTAAGAGGAAGCATGATAGAGGTGTACAAGATTATGCCTGATATGGAGAAAGTGGAAAGAGGGACATTCTACTCCCCTTCCTGTGCACTAGAACCTGGGGTCACACCATTAAGCTGATAAGTGGGACAGTTAGGACAGATAAAAAGAAAGGAATTCTTTTCACAAGACACCAAGTTAACTATGGAATTCACTGCTGCAAGATGTGGAACGGGGCTGCACAACGCATGAAGGATAACACTACCAACAGCTGCTAGTCCTGATAGATTTATGCTGTCTCCAGTATCACAGGCAGTATGCCTATATACACCAGTTGCTGTATGCTAGTGTGTTACCTCGGCAGGATGCTGGACTAGACAGAGCCTTGGTCTGATCCAACATAGCTTAAGTTTTTATACTTATAAAACTGTAAATGCTACAAGTTGTATCCAGTGCGTCATCCTATTTCGAATAGGTCAACTTAAATAATTGCAACTTAAGGAAGATCAATATTTAATGCTTCACATTGTAAACATTTGCACAAATCAGTAATTGCTGAAATACCTAAAGAACAACATTTTAGCTCTTACATATTCAGATCTGCTCAGGGCAATCATATACGTGCCTCATGCAAACATCCCACTGCCTTTAATTTGGTTTGCTTCTTAGTTCAAGTGCATTTGGAACTGCGGCCTCAGTGATTAAACTGGGTTGTCTGCAAGATACCAACACTATCGATGTAAGTACCAGAGAAGCAGGGACACAGTCAAAAGAGGTACACTGATATTCTGTTGACCAAGGACCCCCCAAAATCCAAAGCCAGCCCTGCACTCAAAATCTAGCCCAAGGTAGGCAACCTGGAGTCCTCCAGATGCTTTGGACTTCATATCCTATTAGCCCAGCAAGGGGAAAGGGGACAAGGGGAAAAGCTTATGCAAAATAATAATAATTATTTGGAACACAGTCCTATGCGTGGCTGGACAGGAAAAGGTCCTACAGCTCCTAGCTAATTACACTACCTTGCGTAACACTCCAGATCTGGGTTGTTGAGCCTCAGGTCAGCAAGCCAAATCCAGCCTGCTGTTTCCCCAGGGGTCATGTATGATGACTTCCCAGATTTTACTGCATCTTCTGCTATTCTAAAAGGCTGAAATGCCTCTCTTAAGGCTTCGTTACTTTCACTAAGTGAAACTTTGCCAATATTTTAGTCCCACTGCAATGTGGTCCACACGAGCATCTCCAAAGTGGAATCCAGCCCTCAGGCTGAAAGAGATTCTTCAACACTCTTGCTATACAGAGAAGTTAAAAAGGCCCTTCTGGGAGTGGCAGACCCCTTCTGCACAGCAAGGGCAAGTCTGGAGCAAACCCTTCATTTTGGGCCATATACCCTCGTCTTTGAAAAACTTGACCAGCTCGCATATAAATGCCTTGTTGCGGGGGCATATCCTGTGGTGAAAACCTGTTCAGTCCTAAGTGTCAAAATATCTAAATATCACAATCAGTACATGGTAAGAGGTCACTTAGTTGCTGCTAAATGGCCTGCAATGGCAGAGGTTATGTATGCAGGAAAAAAACCTGAACAGTTCACAGATGCAGCTTTTGAGCTAGAGTATTTATATCATCTGCCTTCTTTGTGGCTACACCCAGATTATGAAAGTCTGTCTCTAATGAGGTTAGATTGGCCCTTCCTTCATTTAGCATTAGGCCAGTTGTTAAAATCTTAGTTCCCTTTGGTTGTTGAGTTATTTTAACTGTTTTATTTCTGCTACCTATTTTTAAATATAGTTTTTATCATGCTCTTTTATTTTCTTTGGTGGGATGTTGTTTTGAAGTGTGTGTATCATTTCAATGTTTAAATAAGCAGCCACCTTGGGGACCTTCTCCGAGTGACTCAGGAATCATTGCATAAATACATAAAACAGATCAACCTTAGTTCAGACTTTGAAATAGCCAAGATTAACTGTGAATCTAGACTACTGAAAATGAAACACTCTCAATGAAACCTTCAACTGGAATTGATGGAATTGAAACCAATAAATAAATAACTTGGAAAATAACCTGGATCACTACCTTTAAATTTGCGGAGTATGAACTCAATCCACTAAGCATCACCCTGGCACATCTGACATGCAAGATAAAGGGCCTACTTACAGGACTGGCAAAGGTATCAACTGGAAATGAACAGAGGAGATGCCCAGTGGCACACTGGACTGAACTGTATTCTAGCATCCTGAGCACCCCTCTGAGAAGCTTACTTGTTTTCAATTTGGCACCAAGCAGGAAATAGCCAGCATGCAATATAGCAGAAACTTGTGTCAATATGCCATCTCGGCTTGTTCTCATTGGCCTGGTCTGTACATAATGCTAAGCCCTTGTATAATTGCTGAATTCTGGGCTGTCAGATATGTGAACACAGTCTTGAGAATAAACCATGGTTTGTTAGCCATGGACAAGGCAGACAGAGATCCCATAGTTTGTTGTGGGCTTAGAAACTGGGTTGGTTAAGCTATGTTATGTGTGAACCTAGGGCTGTGGGCCACTCATGGATTGTTTTGCCAGGTTACTTCCCCACCATCCTTCTGCATGCTAATAGTTCAGAACCTCAAAGGCAACTGAGTTTCAAGGAAGGAGGGGGCAAAACAGGCAAGCAAATAACCCAAGAATTCAGAAAACAAACCATGGCTTGTTTGTGCAGGGCAACAATAAATGGGTTAAATAGACCATGGGTTAGCAGCCTATGTGAAATAGGTCACTGTATCAAACTGGCTCAGCTAGAAACTTCTTTTTGCTATCCAGATAGTGATGGACCTAACTGCATGTGATATCTATGACACATTACTTGCATTAACTAAACACATCTGATCCTGAAATAAAAACTTTCCTTAAGTATTACAAACTATAATATTTTGAAGTAGCAAAACACAACAGAATGACACTATGCATAATACCAGAGTGAGGCAAACATTTCCAAAATACAAAATACTCTATTTGTTATGAAGTCACAAGATGCTTAGGGGCCTAATGTGATTTACAAGGCCTGCTTTTGGACTATTTTGTATATTTATGGACATATGAAATGAAGGCTTTAGCCCTGCCTCAAAGATTCAGTTACAAGCCACAGGGCTGACTTTATTTGACTCATTGTTGGCACTGGGAGACCTCACAAGAACCTTTTTCAAGAATCTATTTATTGGGTTTTTACATTGTTCCAACACAAAGCTAAACTCTGCCCCAACTTCACACACCATTAGGGCATGGATCATTGACTTTAGGTTTCCCTTGTAGGAGCCCTTCCTGCCCATTCATTCATGAAAGGTTTATTGCTCACTAGTTACTGAGGAGCATCTCCAGGAAGCTGCAGGGCAAGGGGGGTGGGGGGAATCCTATGAGGACTATCCACCTTTACAAAATTATGGGACAATCCTCCGTACAGGGAGAAAAAAATGAATTTTGCAAAATGCAGCAAACTAACCGGATAATTAAAAACCCCTTAAGAAACTTTTCCACATCATGTAGCATTAAAAAGAACTCAAAGCTAAAAATACTATCAATTCCATTTAGTGCAAACATTACTCTGTAGACTTATTTTAAAGGATTCTCTTCTCCAGCTTAAATTACCTATAAACCAAATCAAGAATACCTTGATTTAAGTGCTTTCTCTTTCTTTCCTGGATGCTTGTTCATTGGAAGGCTGAGAACATGTCTCAGCCCATGTAATATGACAGTATGACTTCCAATTATGGCAGAATTATGTACATGATCACATTTGGAGAAGACAAACTAACATGCGCAGAACAACTTTAAGAATCCACACACAACGAATGCTACATTGAGGCGCCTAGATATATCATGTCATTATTTATGCCGCAACAACAAAAAAGTTAAGTAGTGGATCACGAATTACTTACCGGGTCACATTTGATAACTTTTGATAGGAAATGTGTGAGGCATTGATAAGAGAGAAAAGTATTAGTGTTTCCAAGGTGAAGGCCTTGCACGGCGGCGACCACACTACCAGCGGCAATCATGGAAGGTGGGTTTGAAATAAATTTAACATCTGTGGGGAAAAAAATGAATACACGGAGGTGAGCTTGCTCATACAGATCATCCCATTCTACAAGCAACCCAGATACAAACAAGCAAATTTATCCAGTGCAGAAATAAAATCTAGATAGATACCTTACAACTTAAACTTGTAGACTAAGACAGCATCAACACTGTACAGCGGACTTGCCCAATCTGATGCTGTCCAGCTGTGTTGGAATGAAACACCCATCATGTTTCACCACTGGTTATGCTGATTAGGACTGATGGGAGTTACAGTCTGACACATGGGAAGGACACAAGCTTGAGGAGGGCTGTCCTAGAACATCTCCAGAATGTTTCCTCTTCTGGAAAATATCCTCTTCCTGTTAACAGGTCCATCTACACCAAACTAGTCCTGTAGGCAGATTCCTCGGCATGATGCCCTTCCATCAGTAAAGCACACAGGTAGCAGACCAGGGGCTCTATGGCACAATGTCTATGTCTCATCACATCAAACTGAAGGGCAGTCCCTCGGAAACCTGACCATAATTGTGCGTTCTGCTCAGTTCATGTTGGGTCACTCACAGGCAGCTGAAAAGGTCATTTGTCACCCACTGATAAAGGATCTGCTGGTGTCACCAGCAAAGATGCCTCATCTCAGCCCAGACTGCACCTTAGCGAGTTTTCCAATTTCTCTTCTATTCAAGCTTGACATCATTGCTTAAGCTCTGAGCAAAGCAGCTTCTAAAACTCCCATCATGTATTTACAAAGTAATACTTCCGAGTTCAATGGGATGTGCTTTAAAGTAAGCAGGCAGGAGTTTGGTGTCCAAGACTTCAAGTTTCAGCAAGCTCTTTGGGATGTGTTCCCCATCTGAATATACTTCCACCCATCTATTGCTAAGCAAACCATCTTGCCACTCTTCCCAAATAAAGCTGAAAAATCAATCCAACTGATCAGGAGTGGGCAACCTGTGGTCTTCCAGGTGTTTTGGCCTGTAACTACCATCATGCCTCACAACTGGCTATGCTGATTAGAAGTCATGTGAGTTGCAGGTCAGAACATCTAGAGGGACCTCAGAATGCAACAGCAGCCACGATCCCCAAAGTGGCAAGCTGGCGGAGGGACTAAACTTCAACGAACACTTCCTCTCATAAATGTTTCTTTCCGACATTTTCTCTTATCAACAGCTGCCTTCTATCCAGGCAGCGGGAATTTCATGTAAATGCGGCATAACAGAATGAAGCGGGTCCCAAGCACTGGCAGACAATCAGTTACATTCTGATGTGACACCATGCTGACAAGAGCCTGGGCCCACATCCAGGTTGCATTGCTGTAGGTCTTGCTACAAAGCCACTCCCATGCTTGCTTGGCCTGTAGCTGCCATCAAGAATGTTACTCCTTTTTACAACAACAACAAAAAGTAATCATTTACATTTTTAGGCTTCTGAGCAGGCATGTTTGATTCATGCCCACATTTGACCATGACCAGGGATTAAGAGAGTGAGAGCACAGCTCAGTATCTAATTGTTAGCAGGAAAACTGAACATGCCAATCTATGTGCCTCAACTCAGGAAATCCTCCCAGCAGCCTGCAAGCAATCCATCTTCCCACCTAGGAGCCCCAGGCCATCAAGGAAATCTTGATTATCAAGCCCACAGGCCGCCACGGAACCCACTGGCTATAAATGAAACATTTTAATGGTAAATCAGAAGCCTCTCCAAGCACCCTAATTGGGTGGAAGAGTTAGGCAAAATTAGCAAAATGAAAAAAATTGATGCACACAAAAACCCACCATGCAAACTGTTTTATCAACCAAGTCACATCAAGACTATGAAAAATTCCTGTCCCTTGTTTACCATAATGGGTGGAATTCAACAACACACAAAGTGGGTGTCCAATCTGACATCAGGCCTTTCCCCTCCCAGTCTGCTCTGGAGGCTTCTCAGCCCCGCTGGAGTAGATTTTAAGGGCACACAGTGGGGAGAGGGATCACTTTCTCCCCATTCCATGGACAGAAGCTGTTGCATCTGTGGGAGGGCATCACAGGATACCACCCATTTTAAGTAATTGCTGCAAGCTGGCATTTTATAATAGGGTTGTGTCTTTTGAAAAGGGTTAGCAATTATTTAGGGAAAGGAGATAATTTACAAATCACTAGTATTTAAAAGCTACTGTAGTGGAGAACTACACTTGGCCAAGTGTTCAACAAACAGAATTTTAAATGATCTTAAAACAGCTTACCCCCAAATGTTTTGAACTATAGCTCCCAGAATTCTTAACCTCCTGGCTAGCAGGATGGAGCTCATGAGAGCTTAAGTCCAAAATATCAGGAAGGCACCAGACTGGTTAAGGCTTCCCAATATGCAGTCTCTCATTACTCAGCTATTATGCCTTGACCGAGATGATAAATCCTACCAATTCTTATTTTATAATGGCGTATCTTTTTATCAGAAGTCTTGGCATTTATGCACATGCATGGATCCGTACAAATTAATGCACAATTGCAAAGGTTGTTCCAGTAATTTCCCATTTCCCCCAGAAACCAAACAAATTATTGCTGTGAAGCCTTCAAATGTAATATAGGAAATATTAGCCCACCTAGATTTGATTTGTCCCAAACTTTATTTATTTATTACATTTGTATGTCGCCCCATAACCAACCTTCTCTTGTATTGACTTAGCTGTTGCATTTTTCAACAACTTGGAACAAAATGTCCCCACTTTTTTAAAAGAAAAAGAGAAAGGAGGTGTGGGGAGAGAGCAGTCCAAAATGGACAGGATTCATGAGATCACTCAAAGAGCCCCAAGTTTGGGAATCTAGAAAGCACTTCCTTTTAAAGGGGCAATAAACAAGAACATGAATTCCTAGTCACGCCCCTCTTTCTTTCCAAGGTGGAAAAGTGATAATGAAGTTTAAATGACCAGTTTGTGTCTGTCCCCAGAACCACTCTAGACAGGCCGCATGGACAGACTTTTTTGTTGCGACACAACAAGGAATTATTTGTGGCAGAGAAGAGACCACTAATTTCAGCATATTAATCAGGGGGCCCCTCTCGGCTGTAATTGGATGCCCCCAAGTGAAGAGTGTGGCATCATTGTCAGCCTCCATCGCCTCATCTTGTGCTATTGAGCGCTCAGGAACAAGGGGGGCTTCGGTGAGATGAATTAGACCTGACACAGCTACAATGGGGAAGGGGCCCCCTCAATTGAAGCACACATCCCCAGAAGCCTATCTGAGACTTCATCCAAAAAGAATAAACAACTTCAGTGTTGTTAAAAAGAGAGGGAGGGAAAGCGGGGGGGGGGGGGAGAGGAGAGAGAAGAATGCCAACCACCCTGAAGGGAAGACAAAGCAGGCATCTAGGCGCTGTAGCGCTTTAAAAAAAATTCCTAACAAGGCAAGTCACCCCTTTTCCTTTTTAAATGGAGCAGCAATCCCCTCCGTCTGGAGAGCTGGGGGCTATGAATGAAAATCTTTTCATTGAGGCAAATCAAAACTCTGAACATAAATCACCGGCTTGCAAGATGCAACAAGTTCCAACTGGTCACATACCTTGAGACTTCCAATTTTAGAAAGGCTGCGAGAATGGCAGAATTGTAGCAAACTCGGTTTCAAAGGAAGGGCTTTTTTCTCCCGGGGTGGGTCAGAGAGAGAAATCAGGCAAGAGTGAGAAGAAATTATCCTAAAGGGGACCCTATTTTGTTTGACAACCAGAAGGATGCAACAAAATCCTACACTATCTCCCAAGACTGGTTCCTATTTATTATTTTGCTTCTGGGACTTTTCCTTCGCAATAGTCTCAGCTTGGATCAATAGAACTCACTTCATTTGCATGATTCTCTCTTTTCCTTGGTCATGCCAGCACCCTATTAATTAAGCTAAAGAACTGCAGGAATTGGTGCAGTTTTTCTTTGCCTCCTCCTTCCTCCATCCCAAGCCTCCCACAGCACAAAAGGAGTCCTTGGTGAAAACATATTCACAACAAACAGAGCAAAACAAAAATTATGTTGGGTCAGGGCAAACAGCTGAAGGGCACAAATGATTTTTTTTAGCATCACCTTTGCTTGTGATCCTTTTTCTTCTCCGGAACAAAACCGCTCAGAGAACTTCAAACGTTGTGTGTCCCCCACACCACTGCCTTCACCTGCCTTCAACAGAGGGCATCCCCCTGGCCCTTCCATTATATGAAATCGAGGGCACAACCCTGCATGTCTACCTGAGCATGCCTCAAGCTGCACCCTTCATGTGCAGAGCTGTGCTGCCTGCAGCATCTTCTAAGAGGCCTTCTTTCTCCCATTTCACATATAACTGAGTCCATGCTCGAAAGCAATGCCAAGAGCCACACACATCTCTGGATGAAGCCTCATTCATTCAGACAGCAATTCTGTCACTCAGCCAGCGAAAACCTGGAAAATTGTAATTGCCACCACACAACAACAGCAAAGCCAAACCAAGCTACCGAAGGACCACGCACAACAGCATGTCCTCCTTCCCTGATCTCTCTAGACATCCATAGTCAAGTTTTTTAATGGCTTTTAAGGATACATTCATGAACATAAAACCCTATTAAGCACTGTTGACTTAGGCAAACTGCCCACTGACTTCACTGGGGTTGGGGGCTCCTTGTTGACCTCCACACTTCCTTTAAGCCTGCGTTAAAACATTTCTGGACAAGGTTTGTATTCACCCATTCATTTTCCCGTTCTATGTATGGGCATTTAGAACAAATGGTTTAAGATAGGCCTCCAAACATGCCCTTCTAAAAAGAAACATAACAACACTAACAGCAGATCAAAGTACTTGGCTCTTTGCAAGCGTCCAACCTTTGAACTATTCTTGTTTTCATCATTGTGGAACGGTTTCTGCCAGCCCAACAACCCAGGTTAAACATCCCCCATCCCAAAGAGAAGGCTGGGTGGGCATAAGAAAAGTTGTATGAGCAAGAAGGGTTACTAAACCTGTGCTGTGGCTACCAGCTAGGCTTGTCCCACCTCTGAGCTTGCTAGCTTGCTGTTAAGACCATTCATTTTTCTAAAATGGTTGGTTCTGTTAGTTAGTTAAAAACTATTTCAAAAATGTCCTAACAATTTTAAAAGGCTTGGCAAGAAACATGAAGCCACCTACCATCCTACAGTTAGGCTTCGGATGAAAGACAAGCTTGAAAGGTGCCAGTATTTACATATTTTTTTCTGTGGCTACCTCTCCAAAGCAGACCTTGCAGTAGGAAGGCCTGTTTAAAACCAAGACGGAAAATAAAATCAAAATAAAAATCTGCTTGATATTTTTCTTGGAGCCTTCCACAAAATTCATTTTCAGGTGTGTGACATCATTAACTCTGCTGAGCATTACCTTAGGCGTCAACGTGACCCTAGGGTTTTAAATGCAATTCAAGTGTTTAAGTTTAGAGAAGTCTATTTAAACCAAGCTGCCCCATGCTCATCTTGGCTTGTTCTCTTGGATGAGTCCTATTTCATAAAACTCAATATATACAAATCTTGGTAAGCCTAGTTTTTAAAAACACCAGCTAAGATCCCTGAGAAGCTTCTGTTCAAAGGAACATGTAATTGGCTTCCTTATTCTTCAACCATATGTAAACACAGTTTTCTGGAGAAAACTACATTTTCTCTAGCTCGGCTGTTTCTATTTGGCCTACCACTCTTCTCAAAAAAAAAAAAAGGTGGAAAAAATCAACAGCTTGTCTACCTGAACCACTGCAAAGTTGCAATGTTGCATTTCTGACACCATACTCCTTGCTTGTTAAGGATGGGGGGGGGCGGGGGCAGGCACAAGCAATCAAGGAAATGAAACAGCAAAGAAACGGGGGGGGGGAGTTAAAGAGTACAGGCATGCGCACGCGTGCACACAGAGAGATTGCCCTTGAAACCCAAAACCAGGCCTCTCTGAGAAATCCTGCAGCTTAGTCAGTGTCTCCAGCTCCTCCCGAGGCTTGAAGTGCACATGGCTTCAGCTGAGCACATGGTCAAGTTGGGTGCGGACAGCTGAAATGCAGCTCTCTGCCAGAGAACTTTAGCTGTGCACACGTCTGTGTTCCCCCTCCATGTTTCCTCCTCCACTTTTCTGCCAGCATTCTTTTCAGGATGGGGAAAGAGCAGAAAAGGGACAACATTCAAATCTTCCAGGGAAAGCAGACAGAAATACTTCACCCTGAAGACTTTAACAAGCACCACAACCTAACTGTACAGGCCTTCTAGCTTAGGAGCTCTTTGGCAGACTCCTGAAACTCTGATGCTCTACAAAAGACAACCATTTTAGGCCAAGCTACAAACACGGCGTTACATTGCCACATTCCTCAAAGTGTTTATTCCACCCTTGAAGCAGACAGGAAATGCCTCTTTCTGGAAAAACTCACCTTTGGCAAAGTAATCCAGGTTCTGGAAACGTGACAGTGCTTGGCGCAAGCCTAAGCAGCACTGAAATTTCGCACCCAATTTACAGGCTGCGCCCTACAGGATTCTGGGCAAGTGGGCAAGGGAAGAGGATGTGTTTGCAGGGGCACACAGACACACAACACGCCTTTTCGAGGGTGCAAGGCTCATACCTGTAGCACATAGAGCCACAAAAGTCTGGGCGTGTTTACGGATGATCTGCTTGCTGTCCTCAGCCACTGGCATTTTATTTAGAAAATGTTCAATAAAATCATGAGGGGTCATGGCCGCCAGGTTCCATTTCAGTTTATTCACCAGAAGCAGTTCCATTTGCTACATCAAGGAGAAAAGGGAAGGATGGGGGGAAGAGAAAGAGGTGGTTACCACGTTCTCCTTGATGCACGTGCAGCATTTGCCTGTGTATCGGCTACCCCTTGGGAAAGGTTTGACTTTAGACGTTCTACTTTGTGGAGCAGAAGCCATGATTTTGCCAAATGCAGCAGCAGCCATAACGCCACCAGAGAAGAACAGAAGCAGGCAGGAAAGGTGCCTTTCCACATGAAAATTACACAATTCGCTTCCCTCCCCCTCTGCCCCTCTTTTCCTTAGCACCATCATCACCCAGCTGCTCTGAACCAAGTGTTTCATTAACCAGATGTATGGCTTGTGTATCTGTTGCCACAAGAGGGCGCCAGCCACCCATTTTGCTCCCCCCCCATGTTACTTTATTTCTCTCTCTTGTGAGTTAATAATAAAGATTTAACATATTAAGGAATTTTCATTCAATTAATCTACTGCACAATGTGGGCTGCAGCTGCCTGGGGTGGATTAATACCCCAGTGTTAAATGCATTGACTTACTCCCCCACACTCTGCCCCTGAAAATGCGCCTAGGATTGAGGCTTAACCATCTGACCCTGGCACAAGTTGCATTTGGAAGTACTTCCGATTGAGTTCAATGGGTCTTACTCCCAAGAAGTCTGAGTACTGGATCGTTTCTCAGCTTTCTCATTCTGAAACAGCGAGAACTGGGGTCACCCTAGCTAAATATCCAATTGTATTTATTAAGCTTCAAGTGGTCTAGAATGAAGCTTGTATAGATTTTGTAAGAAAGAATTCAAATGGCAAAACTCTAAATAATTATCAAATTCAATTGGGAGCAGTGGGGAAGGAGATGTTGGGGGAACCTAAACTATCAAATCTTGGGGAGAGCTGAAGAAGCAAATCTTTTTCTACTTTTTCTTTATGCAATTTGTTGTTCTGTTTCCCCGATGAGGTAAAATATGGAATTACCAGTAATTCATTGGGTCTAATGGAGTTATCAGTGTAAATACACAGTTTTTCTGCAGTTAGGGGAATTGTTTCCTTCATTTTTGAAGCCACGAACATACAGGTAGCTCCCAGCAGTTGCAAGCGGCTTTTCTTGAGGGGTTCAAAAGAAAGATATCTGTCCAAATAATTCATAGCCAAAGGGAAAACTTCTTCCTCACATTTCTGCTCCTCACAAACCTGCAAAAAATAAGCACAAGAAAAAGAAAAAGAAGAAGAAGATGATGATGATGAGAAGAGAAGAAAGGAAGAAGATAGGGAGAGGAAGACTGTTGAAATAAGCACTTAACTTTTGGAATCAAGGTATTCTCTTTTGCTTCTAGCAACAAACCAATTTTCAAAGAAAAATGAAATTAAATGAATTCGCTTTTTGAAAAAAAAAACCCCCAGCAGTGTATGTGGAAGAACTGAAAGAGAAAGTCGCAAGTGAGGAAAATGTGGCATTCGAAAACGTGGTCTGCGTTGGTTAGAAAGAGGAAGAAAATGGGCTTTTTCAGCCCCCCAATTCATTCACAGGCACCCAAACAAGCAAGTGGGGTTTCAAAATGTTGGGGGGGATGGCCTCGGTGCCCCCTATTGGTTTCAATTGGCTTGGGTGCTTCCGATCCCCCCCCTTTGCTCGAGACACAAAGGTGGCGTCGAGAGGCAGCTGCCAGCTTTTTCCCCAGACGTCATCTTTTCAAAAAATATTTAAAAATATTGAAAAAATCAGCAGAGGACCCAAAAGGGCCTGAAAACACCCCCCTGGCGATCCTTTACTGATCCCCTTCGGAATGGGGCACGGGGAACGCTCCAGTGGGACACCCCGAAGTCAAACTCCTGAGCCCCCCATTCCTCTTCTCTCTTCCCCTAGAGAAGCAATGTGCGACATTTGCCTGCACCCGGGCTTTCAAAAATTAATTAAAAATAGATCGGAGTCACGCAGGGTTTCGGAAAGGGGATGAAAATGTAGCTCAGTCCCCCCTGCTCTTGTTGAGACCCCCCTGAAACGTGTCTCACAGTGGGAGACCGAAATTCACACTCGTTTTTGCCGGGCGACCTTGCCGACAAGTTTCTGCTGCAAAAGCATGTCTTCCAGGGGGTGGGAGGGAGAGACCAGAGTCTCTCTCTCTCTCTCCTTCTTTCTCTGCTCGGAACAAAGAAAAGTTTCGAGCTGCAACTCCCCAAGGTTTGCAAGCCAAGAGCCCGATCTGTCTACTCGGCGGCCCCCCGGGGACCCCCACTTTTCTCTGCTCCCTCCGGCGGGCTTCTCCCATTCTAATTATTAATAAACACTCGGCCTTTGCAATAAAGAACAAAGATGGCGCATAATACTGGCACGGGGCGCACTTGCATACGTGTCCATGGATATTAATTTAAAATAAAATCCCGATCAAACTCATGGCAAGCTGGAGGGGCTGCCCAAGAGCCCGGAGGGGCCATTCTGGGGCTCGTCGGATCTAATGATCCTCGCCTTAGGATCCGGCAGACGGAAGGAAAGGGGGGACCCCTTTGGAAACTTCCAAAACTTACTTTGGGACCCCCCAGTCTTTCATGCTAGGTGGACTCCTTAGCCCCCCTGAGTCTTTTGTGACAGCGGAGCCTCCGCGTTCTCGCCTAACCAAAGTCTCTGAAAGAAAAAGAGGGGAAAAGGCATGGAGGGAGGGAGGGAGGGAGGGAGGGGGCGGGGGAGATCGCTCCTTTGCAATATGTTTTAGGGTGCAGGAAATGGGGGATGGGGAAAGACACGCACGCACGCACACGCACCACACGCACACACACCGTGGGACACAGGAATGGTTTTATTGCTAGAAAGCACAAGCTTTTGCAAAAAGAAAGCAGCAAAGCGAACCCGTTCACCAACCTCCAACATCCAAGTTGCCACTATTTTCCTCATATATGGTAAGATCTCCTTCTGCACGCACTTGAAGTAGGACACCGAGGGCGAGCAGGTCTCCTCCGCCTTCAGCATAGTTTGCAGGACCCTGTCATTGAGGAGGTTGGCGTCTTGATAGGCTCTCCGGATGGTCTCCACTTCGCAGCAGAGCAGCTGATGTTCCATGTCTGCCGCCTCCACCACCTCCTCCTTCGCTCCTTCTCCTGCAGGCAGTTCCGCTCAAAGGACCGAGTGAGTCCCCGGGCTTCTCTTCCCCCCTTCTCGGAGTCCCTCGGATGCTGGGCTCGCCGCTCCTGCCGCTGCTCCAGCCGCTACTGCTCCTGCCGCTGCTCCTGCCGCTACAGCCCTCTGGAGGCTGCAAAACTTTCTAACTTTCAACAAAACTCCTGTGTTGAGTCCCCGTGACGTGACTGTTGTTAAGCAGAGATCAAACGCGGAGAGAGAGAATGCGAAAGAGAGGGAGAGGGAGAGAAGCCAAAAGAAGGGGGCAGAGCCCTAAAGCCATCCCATAGGCTTCAAGTCCTTCCCCTTTGCTTAGCTGAGACAGAAGCAGGGGTTTTAATGCAAATGAGGACCAAGAGCTCGCTCGCTTTCTTTCTTTCTCCCCCCACCCACCCTTTTCGGGGAAGGCGAGAGAGAGGTGGTGGGGGAAGCCCAAATTGTCTTTCCACTGGATCAGGCAGAATTTTTTTTTTTTAAATGGAGGGCTCCGGGAGCCGAATGACGAATGAGGGCAGGCCACACACAGACAACGTTGCGGACAGAATGGGCTGAGAGACGGGTTGCGGGTTCGTCCCCTCCCCCCAGGAAAAAGCACCATCGCCACGGTTTTAGAGATCAGGGTCCACATTAGCCATTAATTATCAAGGAAACCACAAGCATGGTCGTCGGCATCGTCATCTTTTCCTTTTAAAAGACAACCTCTCCGTTTTCAGGAGAAGTTCGACCAAGTATCAGAAGTGTCTGGGCTGCAATCTTACCTGAGAGTAGGCCCCAGTGAATTTAATGGGACCTACTTCTGAGTAGGCAGATATAGGATGGCATATTACTGCCACTGAGGCACAGCTTTGCTATCTCTGAATGATTAAAAAAATCCAAACAGATTTTTGCATATGTACCCTTTCCCTTTTTTAATAAAAAGAAGTCGAGTAGCCTGTTCCTAAACGCATTACATTGCAAGTAAGCCCCCACCTCTGGCGCTTTCAAGGGGACCTTTAAGTGCCATGCAAAGGCTCCAGGGAGTTATTCTGCAATCCGCAGGTAATAGAGATCTTCCCGCTAGTGTGCAGCATTGTGTATCTCCATCTGAACTGCATTGGCTCGGTTGCAAGTGGACTCTTTGGAACTGATTCGGGCTTCCGGGTCGCTGCGTTGGGATCGGGGGCAAGGAGAGGAAGCCTTGGACGCGCAAGATCTAGTAGCAGATTGCATGCCAGCCACCCAGCGAAAGGCCAAGCCTGGTCTAAGCAAGATGGTGGTCAGCATTTCCTCTGAAAACCCAAAGGCGGAACGGGAAGCAGGCTCCTATTCTCCCTCCTGCCCCCAAATTCAGGTTCCATTATTAAAATCGAGGGAAATAAATCCCTTCGTTTTTCAGAACTAGAATCTGCTTTTCACTTCTACCAGGAATTATACGCGTTCATTACTCACTAGCAAAACCTACCACATCTAAGGGAGGGTTTTAAACAACCGTGTTTGCAAAAGACGGACTCGGATTAAGGCTGCAATCCTATACCTAGTTAACAAGGATTAAGGCCCAATGAACGTCATTGGCATTACTTCTGAGTAGACATGTATTGGATTGCACTGTAAGGCCGCAAATGTTACACATGAATAGTCGACTTCCAAATCCAGTATATATTGAGAGAAATGTATTGCTGTTTCCTTACGTTCTTCCCACCACCGGAATGGATCCTGATCCTACGCGTGCTTTGTTGGAAGTAAATCCCAATGGGATTCACTCCCGAAGTAAGAGGGCGTTAAAATAAATTTTTTTTTGCAGGAAGCCCAAACGAGGATTTTGACAGCTCAGTGCTACGTTTACTCGACAGTAAGTCCCACTGAATGCAATGGAGCCTACTCTCACGTAAGCGCGTTGGGTGGCAACTAGATTCTTTCATGCTTTTGGTTCCATGTGTATCTATATACACGCACACACATTCAGACATATATAAGTGCCTATGTATTTCAAGGAGGTGCCATTATTTCCTCTGCAGTTTCTGTCTCCAGGGCGCAGCCTCGCATTGTGGAACGTAAACTCCCCGCAAATTCCAGGCACGCCTTGATATGCAAACTTAAAGGATATGTTTTTGCATAATAATAATTCCTGACCCTCCAAACCTTTTTGGAATGACCTCTCCCCACCCTTCCCTCTTCATGTACTAAAGCGTGAACATTAAGAAGAAAGAAGTATCTTTGCCCTCGTTTCATGAGTTCTCGCTCCGACTGTCTGCGGCTCAGAATTTATTTCTTAATTTGCTTTTAGTAAATAAAACTCGATCAATGGCCAGCTGCACGCACTTTCCCTCTCCCAGACAATATTTGCTTTGTAAAATCGGTTCTCTTTTCCAATGCCCCTTTTTATTTATTTATTTTTAAAAGAACACGATGAGAGAGCAATGTTGTTTTTTCATTCATAAAAAGTCCGCGTCGGTGTGGCAGGAGCCCTTGATTTATGAGACGGAGTGGTATCAGCTACAGCTTTTCCGGAGCCCCCCCGTACCACCACCCTCCAGCTGAGACGGCTGCACAGAAAGACCGGCTTCTGCTGCGTGTGGCAATATTGCATGAGCGAGATCGCCCACTTAAAACAAAATTGGCTCTAATTCCTGGAGGGAACTCCCCCCTTCCCCAACTAGTCTCCAATACAAGAGGAAACTGGAATTAGCATAAACCAATAGGGGAATAGATCTGTTACCAGGCGGATCAGGCAGATCTGAACTAGGAACTTGATTTCTCTCTGACAAGACAAAAGGGGTTTGGTCAAAAGTGCGCGAGCTCAAGAAAAACGTGAAGGCGGAGAAGAACACGAGGGACAGAAAACTTAAATGAAGCTTTGTTCTCACCTTCACCGATGCATTTGTCTCTCATGTCCGCTTTGCCAGCGATCAAAAGAGAAGACAGGGATAGAATTAAGACTCTCTTTCATAGTGAGGACTAATTGGGAGATAGTCGCTGTTTTACAGATTCCGGGGCCAGAGGGCTTTTCTAGTGCACATGTGCAGTTTAAAGAAAATGACTCCACGTGGAGAATACATCTGTAAAACCGTAGTTTGAGATATGTGTGTGCAGATTTTGAGAATGAAAAAAAGATATATTCGAATTTGGCTTTTAGTGCTTTATTTAGTAAAAGGCTTGGGACTGCTTGGAATGGGGGTGGGGGGAGTCCTTTACTTTTCCCTCACCCCATCCCCGTTCCTTTCTGGGGATAGTTTTCTATTTCTGCTGCGAAAGCAACCATCAGATAACATAGCCGTTTTCCATGTGCGTTCAGGCATCTCTGCGCTTGAAGGCGCACAATTTTCCCTCGATCCCCAGCGTCGGAAACCAGCCTTCTTTTGTTTGTAAGAATGCCATAAATTAAACAAACCACTTCCCACATGTGTAGGTGGAATCTCACCTTGAGCTAGATACCTGATCGGCAACTTTAAAGGCCTTCTCGCTCTTTTCTCTCTCTCCTTTCTCCTCACACCCCCACCCTTCTCTGCTCAGGCAATGTTTTCCATTGTTAAATTTTCCTTCCATTAAAATTATGTTGTTTCCTTGGCTTTCACGTTCCAGTGTTCATACATGGGGGGCTTCTAGAGCACTCACGCGCCCACCCACTTTATTTTGCACCCACGAATTTACTCCCACCCAGTTTTGGGCAGTCGGACCCACTCAAGGAGGATGCGTGCTTTACAGGTTTGTTCTGACAGGTTTGCAGACCGCGTTACCCTTCGTAGTTCCAGCCCGGGAGGTGGGAGAATGTTTGTCTGCCACCGCCGCCCCCTCTATATTATTAGTTGCAACCGAACGATCCTCGGCTTAAAACTTGCATCAAAACATGGAAAGGGGTGGCGATAGAGAATCCCCACTCAAGCACCAGGGAAAGATAATCTGACTGGGACCTACAGCCCCCACGTACTGCGTTTTGCTCCAGAATTGCGGGCGATCCAGCTGGCACTCGATCTAAGCAAACTGTTAAGTTTGGGGAGAAGAAGGGAGATGCCCCTCACTTTCCTTGGGTTTAGAATGGGATTCCGCCTTCCTCTTTCTCGAAAAAAGCTGTTTGAGGAAGAGGAGCGCTTAGCTACATGCAGCTCGATCCTCGCCTCGCCCTTACCCGGAAGTAAGTCCCATTGTGGCCAATGGAGCTTACTCCTAGGTAATCATCGCATCAGTGAACCTAAGAAAGGTGTTTGTTATCCTCGCTTAAGGCTGGTTTTGCTCCTACCGTGGGGACTGGCATGTTCGTAGCTTAACCCCCTCTCCAAGAGTTTTACTATGAGAAAGCGGACTATGCTTGGAAAGGCGGACGACTGGATGAGTTGTTGCACCCCGAATGGGCTGCAAGGGAGTAGTGTGTTACCTACCACACCGCGGCGCGCATGTGTCTCCCCCCCCCCGACTTGCTGAGTCTTGCTCGCCTTCTCTGACTGAAAGTAAAGAATCGTGTTAGCCCAGGCAGCCGCTGTTTTCTCGATCGCCGTCTCCAACGACGTACTGAATGCATGAAACTCTCAATTCCCCCCGACCCCTATGGCAATTTCGTGCGTTTTGTTTGTGCTCCGGTCTCTTCCCCCCTCTTTCGCTGTGAGAAATTTTATCTGATCTCGCTTCCTTATACTTGCATAGATTGGATGGCAACATCAGGAAGTTGGAACTTGCGCGAAGAGGAATCTTGCAAGCAGTTTCTCATGATGTAATCGGCATTTTCCCCTCCCCCGTCTCCGTTCCACTTCTCCCCTCACCCCAACACACCAAGTCCTTTCCGCCTCGCGTTCCAAAAAGTGTGTGTGTGCGCGTCTATATATGCCACCAAACGGGTGGACGTCAGAAAATAGAAGTCGCTCTTATGCTGTAGAGGTGTGGTTAGAAGAGTCGCTTCCCCCTCCCCTCTTTCTCTTTCTGCCTCGTCTGGAGAAGCAAGCAATAATCATCATGGGATTATGCATTCTTATTGAAAAAACAAAATCGCGAAGTCTCCCCTTTACATAAGGGCCATTGATTACATTGTACTTGCATAAAAGAGGTGGATCCAAGTGCAACTGGATAATGCAAATGATGATTTTTCGGAGATCCGAGCTCTTTCGATCATTGCCCAAACTCTGGAGGACTGAGGACAACGGAGAAGGGCGCGGATAGAGACTGTTAGCGGTTTCGAAATGCGTTTTGAGATGTTTAATAGACGATACATTTGGTCCTTTTGTGTGCGCGCTTTTTAAAAAGGGGGGTTTCAATGGCATGTGTAGTTTAATAAGAAAAGACTCTGCTCATTTAATACTCCGGTTCTTATTTTCCCACGCCAAACTGGCCAGGGGGACCAAAAATAAAAAC